CGCAAATGCACTGCTTACAGTGCACATTGTGCAGGACTTTGAAGCACTGAGTGAATTATGAATCCCTACTTTTATTTTTCATGCACATCATTTTCTAGTCACCTTCGCAAGTAAACTATGAGTGCAAAATGTACCATAGAAAGGTATTTTAGGTAAACCACTAGTGAACATAAACATGCTCTAAAAGAAGATTCCAAGACTGAATCGTAAGAGAATAGAAGTTATACGCAAAATTGAATGAAGCTGTAGCTTTAGAGCTGCTGAACCTTTGCTCTTTATGACTACAAAAATAAAGGGCTAGCATATTCGATTCGGTAGTTTACGTTGAATGGCGTATTAGGTGGGAATATACTAGAACCTATACGTAAGAGCTACACTTAAGAACTAACTTTGCAACCATTGGTGGCCGAGGGGCATTCTCACTTTCTCCTTGATTTTTTGAGGCGTGACATCAAGATGTATAGAACCGTACACAAGTGCTTTGTGCGTCATCTTGTCGCTGTGTCTTCTAAAGTGTTAAGACTGCAAACGACTCAAAGAATCTGAGCAATCCTGACGCTGTTTGCGCCTTCATATTAGCCACGTCGCATTCATGAAGAAGCTTCCGGAGTGAGTTACGCTGTTCAAGGCGAGTCGCCCCCTTAAATCGTTCCCAATTCAAATATACATCGGAAAGCTTTCTTGATTCTGCAGTTTTGTTAGTTGGGCTTTGCGATTGACCATTGTTGAAAGGCAAACAATAGGCGATCACAGAACGCTTACTCCAAAACCTTTAGCTCGGGTGCACCATACTTTTGTGGCACTTTCAGAGCCATTCCTGTAACGAGCACGAGAACACCGTTTGACGGATATTTACCTATAGTCTATACGTACAAGCTTATGACCTGAAGGAACTGTGTGCTTCGGGAAACAACTGTGTGCTACGTGGTTATGTGGTGCGCGCATACGTTGTCAAGACAGCGTTCACTTTTCGTCGTCATCAGCCTGTTTGTGTTTTACAACCACAATCATCTTGACCCGAGTTGGTGCTTTTTGAAACTGAACGTACATTTACGAATGTGATCAAGGATTTAGATCTTGTGGTTCATAATTAGATCGTTCTTTTGAGAAGCAGGACTATCAAGTGTGAAGCGCTGTAAGGGCCCAGAATGTCGTACGCTGTCGTCGCTTGAGGTAACGTAGGCAGACCCATGTATAGCATACTCATGTGTTGGGTACTTGGCGCTGGCTTGCGTCGTATTCTCCCTCTTCTTCGTCGAGCACATTGATGACGATACTAAGTGCGCAGGACTTTGGGAAACGAAGTTGTCGTATGCTGCTGTATTCCGTCGTATGCTGTCATCGCTTGACATAACGTACGGCAGACTGTGCGTAAATATGGGACATAAAAAGGCAGCAAGCAAAATATAGAAAGGCACAGAAAGAAAGAGAAAATATGAATAAAACTTGAAAAAAGTTAAAGCGATAAAACTGCAGAAAAACTAGAATAGAGAGAAAACCAAGGGGAGGAAACCGAAAAGACACAAAGAAAGCTGCCCAATTCAGAACTTGCTTTACGCTTGGCACCACTACTGTGGAGCTGCCTTCATTCTTGCATTTTATTATCTTTTCTTTGCCAGCAGGCTGCGGTCGCCGCTTGGTGAGTCGAATTCAGGCTATTCACTCGGGCCGCAGTCCATCCCTCTTCTTTCCGCGAGAGATGGTGAAGGAGATGGTTTCGCCGGAAGCAAAACAGTAAACGCACCAGCCTGCAAGCTTGTCTAGGTCACTATTATTTAGGTGCAGCTTGGTCGGTAATGTTCGATATACATACGGGCGGAATTGAACAAAATTCTAACAACCAGGCGCGCTATTGTCATCCAGTTTTAACCTTGCTCGCAATAAGAAAAGATGCTACATTGCTCCTTGGTTGTATCAATTCAATTTCTAGATGCGAGGCGTCTTATAAGAGAGCTTCATCCGGTGGCGTCCGCACTCCACTGCGCATTTGCCTTCCCTCCATCAAGCTCTCCTCTCCTACATTGTCCCCCTCTCTTGCCCCGAAACGCCAACGCAAGCAGCACCTACCAGCGTGTTTCTTGATTAAGAAAACTGACTCCTCACGCTGCAGAACCGTTCACTGGCCACTCCATATATCTAGGCACTGGATGTCGCCTTCCAAAGTAGGAGGTTTCTCCTGTGAGTTGTTGAAAAATAAAAATTTGCAGCGCGCGCGTTATCTAAAAGCGGACGGTGGGTCTGAATTCGACAGCTCACTCGAGGTGGGTGCTGAATCCGACGTTTCGACAAGTGGACTTGTCTTTTTCAAGGCCGAAACGTATATCCACAGGTATTTATGAAAGATCTTACTTAGGGGGACACGTACTTGACTTCACCATTAAGAATGGTTTATTGAGTACATAAAAAACAGCCTCTCAGTTTCAGTTATAACTACAATGGGTCCACCCTAGCACATGTGAGTGAATTCAAATACCTAGGCATCACCTTTACACATGACCTTAAATGGGGCAAACATGTTGATCAGATAACTTGTCAAGCTCTAAGGAAACTTGGTTACTTAAAGCGAAGATTGAAAAACTCGACAAAAAATTGTAAGTTAACTGCCTACAAGACACTAGTGAGACCGATGCTCGAGTACGCCTCTGTGGTTTGGTCGCCTCATCTTGAGCAAGATAAAAACAGGTTAGAATCTGTGCTGAATAAGGCTATACGGTTCGTTTTTAACCGTTATGATCGGGACTTCTCCCCGTCTTCACATGCTCATTTGTTGTCACTTCATTCACTGGAACACCGCCGCACACGTGAGAGTATTATCTTGTTGCACAAGATTGTACACAAAATGACCCGCGTTCAGGCGCCCTTATCTTTCGCTGATATACCAGCGCGTACAACACGTAGTACAGACGCTTTGAACCTTGTACCCTTCAGGTCTCGTTTGGATTGTTTCAAATTCTCTTTTTTTCCGCGTGTGGTGGAAGCGTGTGGTGGACGCTAAATATTTGTTTTGTCTTAAGCCTAAAAAGCGGGACGGCTTTGTTGTTGATGTTGTTTCTGTTTAGTTTACTCTGTTCCTCGATATAAAGAGGTATTTTATAGACACCTAAAGGTAATGTTTTTATTTTTCGTTTTTTTATTAGTGTACCAGCTTTTCTCTCTGTGATTCTAGTAAGCTGCGTGCTCACACAGGATCTGTCTCTGCAGTTCGGGGATATTTTTTTATATTTATTGGCCGGCAACGCCACCTGGCGACATGTCGCGTTAGGTGTATAATAAGTTAAAGTTTGATATATGCGTCAAAATGAGTTTCGTTTCAGTTGCCAGCGGGAAGCTGTTGAGGGGAGTCAAGCAGTGTCAAGCAGTGTCGGAAAATCTAGTCTTGTGTGAAATTGGAATAAAAACAGGATGGAGACGCTCGAAACGCGTCAAAAACCTGACGACCAGGCGTGGTCAAGCAAAGCCGTGCTTTGATGTAGCAACACTTCCGGGAAGATCTCTAGTCTGTCAACGACATCGACCACTCTGGATATCCTTCTAAATTACAAACGGACCATTAGCTGCCGAACGTGCGTCAGTCATTATATACATTATATAAGGATGCGCGAATAAGTGTTCAAGCGATCGCAGAGGAGTACGCAAAACAAAGAACAACCATTTTTGGTTTTTTGAAGTAGGAAGTTCGCACTAAAACGGTACCAGAAGTCCTGACGAGTAAGATGAAAGAAAATCACACCGCGCTCATCGTCTCCAAGTTGTAGGTCAACGTAGATCTCCCAGCACTCATCCAGCCACTGTACAGCCTCGATGAGGCACCACATAATTTTTTGTCTGCATTAATCACAAGAACCCTGAAAGAAACTGAACATTGGATGCTATGAACGGTGAATTCATCTTCTACGACCTCACTCAAAGAGGTTCCAGGGCACCTTTAGTGACTGTGTGAAACGTTGGCAAAGCTGCAGTAACTCAGGAGAAGAATATTTGAAAATTTCTCAAGAGACTGCAAACTAATATCCAATAAATTATTTATAAATGCTTATAAATACAAATTCTTGGAACTTTCGGGAAAAAACGTGTATGTGGTTGTTGCTGTTTTTACATTTTATTTAATTTCTTGATTTTATGTCGCTCCCAGTTTAATTGCTTAGCTTACTTGAACAGAAAATGAATAAATTAATGAATTAACTGCAACAAGTATCTTATCTCACACAGAATAAAAACGAACATGACATAGTTTAGTTGATTTGACCTTATAATCTGCATATTTGGTATAATAGCATCTCAATGAAATAAGCTTTTGAGGCTACTGCTAATTCAAAGGATTCAAACCTATAATTTGAACGTATTCGCAACCTGAGAGAGCCACGAAAGCGGCAATGGTGAAAGCGAGATCGACACGACTGCGTCATTCACCAGTTATGAGGATTTTTGTATGATGAGTGCTATTAAAGTCTTTTTACAATGTGAAATTTTATATTCGGAATTAACAACAGTAATATAAAAGAACAGTTCTTACCTATATTGGATCTAAAAGTGACTGAAGATGCGAGAAATTTTTTGTTTACCTAGGGATCAAAATCCTTTGTATATCGTCTATTCCACCATATTTATCAAATTTCTAGCATTGTGTATACATGATATATTTTTATGATGGATGAGACACGGCCCCTACAAGAAGTATGTTTGGTACTCCTCTGCATATATATGCAGACAGGTAATCTGGTAGCGTTGATTACAGTTGCACTAAAACATGCCCTATTTTAACATTTGCCAAGCTTGTAACGGCAAAGCAAGTATCTCGCCTAAAGGCGATCCAATGTCGTTCTGAAAAGGAAACAACGGCTATTAAGAAAATGGAACAGTAAATAACGACGAATGCTCTAGCTGGGCGCCAATAATGAATGTAACTCATCGCAGTGTGTGCGTGAGATTGACACGTTACCACGGCGTCAAAGACGCTAAAAAACACATTCGTCAATACTGCTAAATAATGACACGCAAGAGTGTATCTAAGCTTTTATTGGCCGCAATGGCTGCTCCGAAATTGTTCACGTTTTTGCAGTGGTATATGGAGGTAAACGCTGTAGGTAAAGTTTCTACCTTCATGACACACTATCTTATATTTTCAATATAAACAGCCATGAGTAGCTGTTGACACTTAGCCGTCTCAGCCGCTGCAGCAAAATTACATGGGAAGGTTTTAGCGCGCTTGTCCAAAAGCTTTGCATCCTTCCGGCTCCCTTGTCTTATTCTGTAATATTGGGTAAGACATGGTCCTAGGAATATGTGTATTTGGCAACTCTGTAACGCTTTAGTAAAGGCGGTTGTACATGTTGGGGTCGTATCTGGGGTTCACGAATCCCTTCAACAGATTCCATGAGCCACTGTTGGGAGCTGGATCCATCCCCAACATGTAGCACATCAAGTTGTAGACGTCCACCATTCGAACCAGGCTGGGCCCTCCATTACCTCCTTGAATGGCTGGAAAAAAAAGAGAGAACACATCAAGAAAGAAGTCAAGAAAACAAATACTAATAAACTGCTGGGAAAGGCTACATGCAGCAGGAACGTGACATCTCGTGTGGTGCTGTACAGTTAGACGCAAAATTACGGCAACATCCATGTCATGATCTCTGACTCAAAGATGTGTAGACTTAGATATTTTCCATAAAACCTCTTACTTTTGAATTAAGTTAAATGAAGTGCCTTCGGGGCTTCTTTACTTGCTGTGGGTATCAAGGCCATGACATAGAGTAAGGAATTTAAAAAAGAAAATACAGATGCTGACGAAGTTTCAACTTTGGCTTCTCTTAACGTGTATCAGCAGAGGGATTCCCTTCAGGACAGATGAATAACAAGAGTGGCAAGCCATGCGAATGCTTGTAGATTTACAAATGCTTCCCAAACACGGCACAGAATTGCAGGGGTTACCATCACTTGTAATGGGGTAATGAATAAGAAACCAGTGAAGCTGCAAACTGTATCAAAGCGTCGGCATTGTTGCCTAAGAATTACCCTATGAGTGTGCAAGAAGGCAAGCAATAAACAAGAAGCTGGCTGGTAAACAGCGCACGTTTTCCAAGAGGCTTCTTCAACGTTTGAGTATTTAGAAATTGCGTAGTGGTTTACAAATTCGGAAGCTAAAAAATTGCTGCTTAGGCACCAGCCCACGTTCCCTTTATGTTGGCATAGCAACTGTCCGAAACTAGTAACAATTGAGGTTTTACTTCCCGAACCACGATAGAGTTTTGGCAGAGGCCGTAGGTGACAGCACAAGGAAGTCTCACCATCTGGTGTTTTTTAAGGTGCACTCACATCACACAGCACGCAAATATCTAGCATTTCGTCTCCATCGAAATATGTCCGCTGCAGCCTGGATAAACCCGTGACAATCTGTCTGAGACAATATGGTGGTTGATACTGAACCAATATTTGTGATAGTTGTCATATGTGCGTATTTACAGAATGAGACGGATCTTCTGATGAAATTATCAGAAGAATGAAGGAACGGTTTCATGAAATAACAGGGCCTCACCCATTATTCGTAACTGCGATTTTCGTTCTGTGGTGACATTGAGAACCACCGCTAAACACGCAATTTAATGAAAGGGCCCTGAAACACAATTTCAAGTAAGTGTGAAATGAATTCACTGGAAGAGAATATTGCCTCACGAATTCAACGCCGCAAAAGTTTTAAGAATCCATCCTGGCCGCGTGAAGTTACGAAGATTTGTCGCATGCTGCAATTGCATTTTCTCTTCTCTCGTCCCGAAGAAATCGCTGGAAGCTAAAAAGGGAGGGATGGCAGGGGCAAAGAAAAGACGTTACGCGCGCCTGGTGACGTTGAGCACATTTTTCTTTTTTTTTTCGAATGCGCGTCTTATTCAGTGTGATCGCGCGCGTACGCGTCAACAAGTCGCGGCCTCCCGTGGCGATCTCTGTAACGACCGAGTGAGACATGTTCAAATCAGCCCATGGCTAATAGATGGGCTTTTTACGAGGGATTTTTGAGCGTCTTCCGTGATTTGGCGAGAAAAAAGAAAGCAATTTTTAGCTGAACTTGATGATTTCTTGTGAACTCCAGGCCCCACGCTGCGCTATATTTTTCATTCACGTATTCTTGCGATCCTCTACTACCGACCAGCTGCATTTTATGACTATGCTCAAAAAGTGTCGCAGAGCCCCTTTTCTATAAGTGGCAATAGTCAAATCTTTCGCTATATTTACCTGGTCCTTGGGCGTAAAATATTCCCCACATATCGGGCATTATGGGGTCATACCCATGCACTCCAGGTGAAGGACCATTGTTTCCAGGTAGAGTCTTCTTCGGATTTTTGAACTGTAAAGAGCAACACAAATTCAGTTTTGAATAAGTCATGCAACTGTGAAATTCTCTTCACTGATAATTCGCGCATGAACAGTTTTAATTGCGTTTTCCTGCTGTTGACTTCTTTTGTAAGGAATCACGTGTAAACACGGAAGATTTTCCTGCGTTCATGTCATGTATTGACAAAGAACGCAATTCGTGGTGCACTAAATTTGACGTTGAAATATTGGGCTGACATTTTAACGCATCGTTCAACAGAAGTAGCAGAAAAGGGGGCAGGGGGCTGAAATACACGGTGCTTTAATGTTGACAAATATTTGTTATTATGAAGACGAGTTTCATATTGAAAGGCTGTTGTGCATTTCTATAAACACCGCCTCTAACTTTCAGGTATGTATTATAAAATAAGGCATGCCGGTAGCGCAAGACAAAAAAAAAAAAGCCCGGAAGTGGCATTTCAACACTACAGGTGCCCTATCCATAGAGCTAACTACATGCAAACATTACTTGCGAAACGTGCAGGTTAAGCCAACCTTTGATGTTGTGGCCTTGCCTGATAACAACTTATTTTATAACTTGCCCTCTGTTGTTGAGTTTATCGGATCAAAGCACAATGTGTGGTTCATGCATGTCCAGCCATCTGGTGGATCTAACGGAAATGTTGCTTCTATGCTTAGAAAAAAGCGTTTTTTTTTGTGATTATGAACAAATGTACGCACATATTGTAGAAAAGTGTTGAACTGAAGCTAATTGCTCTTAAAAACATGTGAAATGATTAAGTAACCCAGTGATAATTGTTACCGGAATAAATCGTAGCCCAACTGGCACACACTTCTGATAATATTTTAATTTTGTTCATAAAGTTATCACGACGTCTGATGGTAGCTAGCTGTGTTACAGATGTTCATTCGTATATGTTCATATGTGAATTTCAATATTTATTATTTACCTTTGGGCCAATAATTTTTATTCAACTAAACAACTTGCGCTGTCTAACGGACATATAATTCTGCTATTGTAATGGAATATTTGTTATTTCTAGCGAACTACAAACATTGAAATTATTGACGAGTCACTTTTCGTTACACCTCGCCTCTTCCAACCTTTTGTAAAAAGCTATTTGGACAGCAGCTTTATTTTAAAATTTGCAAGGGCTCAACCAGGGCGTATGAACGAAAACCTCAGATTAATTCGCGCAACATAGTTCCGTTTTTCTGCACCATTCTCTCGAACATATCCATTTCCAGACTTACTGACTCTTACTGAACGCTAACGAAAACAAAACGAATATGTTATTTATGCACAGATTCTATTCTTAAATGGTATGCTAAGTTCTCTAGTATGGAAAACTTATTCATCTTTTGAAGCGGACCTCACAAGATAGCTTTAAGCGGCTGGTGCTTATTTTTTGTTTTTATATTTTAGAGCTGTTTTAGTACATACTGTTCTATCTGATATATTGGCGAGAATATAGCATAACGGTGGCTTCGTATATAGCGTGCTCGGCTTCTGCTGTCGTAGACTAAGTGGTCACGGTTTCCGCTCCTGGTGACATAACTTTTTTTGTATTTGCGATCTAATTGCGTATATTTTCGACGTCAATTTCGTAAACGGAATGCGTCACTGAAATTTTGGTGGACCTTTACATGAAAAAAAATTTTTAAGAGGGAATAAACACGTTTGCGCAATTTTATGTTTGAACGCAAACAATAGTTCGGTGTACTTGAAGTCTCTCACAAAGCTGGAAATAGTTTATTCATAACAGTAGGTGAATGAGAGGGGCTGTTTCATACTTGCGAAATTTGCAGACACAAATATTTAGGCGTTATTCTCCATTTACATGGTCTTTCTCCAGCTAAGAAAATAGAATAATACACGTCGCTGGAATGGTCTTGCGCGTCATAAGAGCAATATTATTTAAGGCGGCGGAGTCTTATACTGAGACAGGGATTTCCTGCGACTCAGTGATAATACTTCATAAGTATTTGTATGCCTTTTTCATAGATTGAAAGAATAACATCGTTTGGTATAACAACACAAGCAATATGCTGAAATACACGTGGGAGATAACGCGCGTTCACAAAACTTTATTATTCCTGTAACTATTTCAAGAAATTTCATTCGAAAATCACCAGAGAACGGTCCCCTCTCCTGCATACTTATGTGCTCACTGGCGCTTACATTGGCTGTGAAGAGAATTCTCTGTAAATTTTAAACTCCCATCTTTCCTTTTGTAGGGGAATCTTCTGTGTAAACTAATGCACAGAAATCAAAGCACTTTATCCAATTAGTCATTCAGATAAACCGTAGTCTTACTGGCATGATGTAGTGTCCTTCCTGAGCAACCAATACTATGGGAGCCACAAGCTCATTATTCTTGAAATGCCAATCGTCCGGAAGAGTTTCCTTTGTGTAAACGCTCAGCCCTTTCGGTTTCTTAATAAGCAGGTTTTTTAGCACCTGAAAAAGTCACCAAAACAAAAAGAGAGTGCCATATAGTTGCAGGTGGTCAACACGACTTCAATATAGTTTTATGTGACCATATGTGACGCGAACGCAATTTCGTACGATGGAGACATCAAATTGCGTGATTTATAATGTGTTTTAAGGGAATATTTGAGCGTGCTGATATTATTCGAATAGAACGCCTCCTTAGCAAGCGTTGTTGTAAGCTCATCATCCTTAAATTTCGAAGACGTGGTAGCCCTGATTCTCCTTCACTTTTTCTTTAGCGACAGCAAATAATCTCATCTTGTTTACTTACCAAAGCCTCCTAGATACTTTCGTAGTAAAATCGGGGAACACCTTGCGAAAATAGATTCATCAAACAGAGCATTGTTAATATTATTATTATTTGATTTACATACATAGATACAGAAGGACCCAGAGGAAAGAGGGAGAGAGCAAGCTGGCAACTGCCACCTTGAGGTGCACAACGCATGCTCACTCTTTCGGGAGGAGGGAAGAAACAGAGGAAACAAAGATTAGAGAAGAGAAAGAGGAAAGAAGATGAGGAAGGGAAAAAATGACGAAGACTAACGAGTATGAGAAAAAACACAAATAAAAATAATAATGAAGAAGAAAAAAGGAGACCTTCTATAAACGGGTGGCCAGGTCCGTTTGGTTCATAAATGTAAGGAGAGCACGGTGGGCCTGGTCGCGTCGGCAAGCACTACCGCTCCGAAAGAGAGAGTCGTAGAGAGTCACACACTTGAGATCCAGAAATTTATATTCCTTAATCAAGAATGACCACTGCGTAACAAATGTAGGACAGTGCACTACGAGATGCTCAAGTCTTTCGCAGGAGCCACAAGCTGCGCAGAACGGGCTGTCCACATGCCCTTGACGGTGTAATCGTTTACGTACCAGCACAGAGCCCACTCTTAGTTTGTACAACAGCGCTCGGAAATTACGAGGCAAGCCACGGCCACGAACACGGGAGGGAACGATCCAATCGCCACACTCTGGTCTGGGTGCTGCTTTAGGAGGTGTCGGCGTATAAGCAGACGAGCGTTGTCCATCGTACATAGAATTCCCGTACAGTCACAGTCATCATGGTTGCATGAGGAAGCTAGGCATTGAGACACAGGAAAAAGACTGCGAATTTAATTATTGTAAAACTAACTAGTTCCAGGCCATTTATTAATTTTTTCACATTCTGCAGCAGTGAAAAATCGTATTCGCTGTTTGCGTCACAGTGTGAAAGGTTTTGATGCATAAATTGTCAGATTCAGTATCTTGAAGGTACAACTCACCTCATGATCTCTGCCAGGCTTAGGGTGTAACATGGCAAAGGGTCCTTTGTCGAGCATTATGTGGACGTCTCTTTCGTTCACTAATGCATCCATGTCAATGTGACGCGTGGACTCCGGACTAGTGCGTGTCATTCCGTGGTCTGACACGACGATGATATTTACCTGAGTGTTAAAAGAAACGTAAAAACCAACAAAATGGATGACACAAGGTCTGAGAAATAAAACTGCTGCCTTGTAGCAAGGATGTTTAGTAATGACTCAGTTAATAACGAGGCGGCCATGACAAAAAAGTAATAAAGGTTTCTGGGAGTGTAATCTGGTACGCTAGACGGTTTTGCAAAAGAACGAAATAAATTTCCTAACTGTTGAAGGTTACGAAAAAGCCTAGGCATAGTTACGAGGCTTCTTTTCATACGTTTTTTTTATCATGTTCGCTCTTCATGAACTGAATTGCAGAGGGAGGGAAAGATGAAGGCCGGTATGTTAACTAGAAAACATTTTCTGTTGGGAATGGTAGGGAACAGAGTACCTGGTAATAGCAAATGGGGTACAACATAATGAATAAAAGAAAGGGGTCTGTAACAACAATTATTCTCATGTTCATGGCACTGTCTGAAAGCAACACATGAACGTAGCTACTGAATTCTCAGAACGCGTTGTGCAGTGTTGTTTCTCCAAAGGCCTGACCACACGTACATGTCGCAGCTTGGCAGCGCACTGTTTTCCTACATGGCACCATGCCTTCTCCCTGCGAGGAGAGAGGGCACTCGCCTAGCGAAGCTGCACGCCCTCTCTCTCCGTAGGAAGAGGGTGTGGAGCCGCGTCAGAAGCCATGACAAGCTCGGCGCGTACGTGTGGTCCGGCCTTCACACCGCAACAACGCCCGCGTAGCGGCTCGCGTTGTCGGGCAAGGCCTGTGCCCTAGAACTTCGCTTTCTGTCGGAAGCTGACTGTCCAACTGATTGAGGGCGGCTGAAAAGACTGCTGTTTCGGCGCCAAAACGGGTGCTCTCGCACAGAATGTGGGCGATGATATCGCTGTACCCGCAGACTTGACACGATGGGTTGTTCACGATGGGCCACGATGGGCCATCCCAATTGTGAATGGAAATGCATTATTTTAGAGGGCCACTCGAAGCCAGAGGCGGATAAGCAGGGTAAAATCGCGTCCTGTTCTGCGCCAGAGAACTATACTGCGTTGTTCTTTAAGTAAGAATCCATTCTTCAAAGCTGACTTTTCGAGCAAGGAGATGTAAAAAAAACATGAACAATAAAGGGAAAGCAACATTCATGTATACTTCGAAACTCTGAATAATTTTCTGCATGATATTTCATAAGATTTCAACGCTGACTCTGAAAGTGTTCATTTGAAGCTTGCTTTCAGGCCCCGACCAGTAAATAGTTTAAACGCGAAGTTTTTGATTAAGCTCGCCATAATTTTTTTTGTCAGAAACAGAAATGTTTATTATCATAAATGAGCACGTGCTATCTGCATCATCTTTTTTTATCTTCGTTCTCATCAAACTCACTCCCAGATAATTTGCACGGACTCTTTCGGAGTCGCCTGTAATGACACCTGCAGGTGAGAGAATGAGTACAAAGATGGAGAAATATAGAAAAGAAAAGCGAAGAAGAAATCTCTAATAAAAAAAAAACAGAGGGAGAGACCTACGAATTCTCGGCAAAAAATATTCTTCAGAACGCCGAGTTTGTAACCGCATACTCTCGATCTGAAGAGAAGTGATGTCGCAATGAAGAGGAGAGAAATGAAAAGTGGAGGTAAAGTTTTATGTAGAAGAGAAGTGAGAAACAGAAATAGGAATAGAAATGCAGAAAGACAAAGAACGCGAAAATTACAGAGTCAAATGGAGAGAGATCGAAAAATTTAATAAGAGAGAAATAAATAAATAGAGAAATATGAGTGGAGAAAAGAGAGAAAGAAAAACACGGAGGCGAGAAACGAAAAAAATACAAAATGAAAAAAACAGAACATTGACAGAACTTGGAAAAACAGCAAAAACCACTTATGCACAGGTACACTTCAACTACACCGTCCTCCGGCACAGGGCAATCAGTGCAACAGGAATAATGCAATCAGGGATACATGGAATACGAACAGTGGATACGAACATCAGGGATACATCAATATCAGGAAACATCAGGGAACATCAATATACTTGGGATACGAACATCAGGGATACGAACAGTGCAATCAGGGATAATTGTTTTGTGTATAGAAAAGTGACATTTATTAGCCTGAAGTTCGCGCTTTGGATAGTTGCTTTGTATATTTATTTATGTCATTGGCGGGTTGTCAACTTGATAATATTACTAGCGGAAACAATCGGAGTTCGTACACGTTCCACGAGTGTACCTACAGTGCAGAAACGTTCATGGTGCAGCGAAAAAAGCGGCAAGTCCCGAATATGGACCACGGTAAACGCAAAAACACAATTTGTCCTCACGCTCTTAACTAGCTAATTGACTCTGTCTGCGTAAAAGGAAGACGTCCGCTGCATAAAGTGCGCATTGCCGACAATTTCTACGTCAGTCGCACTCGTTTTTGTAAGTGACATTCAAAAGAAGCTCATTGGCAGGATGAAGGTTTCGCTCATAAAAAGGCTGCACTAATGGCGCACAGAAGCCGCCAAAATTCTTTGCGTTACCTCTTCTAACAGGTCCTCTCTTTGCAGACTCAGTTGCAGGTTCCACAAGTACCGATCGACTTTCTTGACTGCATCGTAAGTCCCTTCGCTTTCGGGCCCATTTCTGTGTCCTGTGAGAAGGACCAAACACATTTAGAGCACAGCCACGTGATATTATTCAGTCGAAATTTTTTTATAGTAGCAGCACATTCACCTGTTTACTAAATGTAAGACCATTCCTAAAAAACAAAGGCAATTTGAAATATTTCTATCTATCTATCTATCTATCTATCGATCTATCTATCTATCTATCTATCTATCTATCTATCTATCTATCTATCTATCTATCTATCTATCTATCTATCTATCTATCTATCTATCTATCTATCTATCTATCTATCTATCTATCTATTCCACGCCCATAAGTATTATTTGTGCAAACACAGAAACACTAATTTTTCACAGGAACATACCTTCGGCGTCGGGCCCTTCGTAGTAAAGCATCGCCAAATCGAGCGCGTTCTTTTTGAACGCACCCACCACTTCTTCAATCTTCTCATTCATTAGGTGGTCGATCTGGGTGGAATAGCCGCCGTACGGGATGCAGCGTTGGGGTCGGGTACCGTTGATGCTCACCTGACACCCATCCCACCAGTACATGGCTACGGTGCGATTGCGGCGTAATGCTCGCGTCCACAAGGGTTCCGCTCGACTCCACCAGCGCGGGTGGAAGCTCCCTGGCGAGGACATCGCGAAGTAGGAGTTTGTCTTCATGTCATACATGTAGTTACCCAGGATGCCGTGCTCTTCGGTGTAAAGGCCTGAAAAAAAAATTGGCCCTTAATCTGCATGTTACACTGCAAATGTCGTCAAAAGACTATAGCTTTGCGTCTGAAGAGAGTGAAGAAAACGTTTATTTGATGTTCTGCGCAAGAAAATTGGTGAATGGTATTCTGGAGGCGCTGCGCTAGTGCCTTGAGCGTGTAGCGAAGGCGAACGAGCGCATCGAGGCACGTTAGACACGATCTCCATCTGGCAGTTCAAAAACGAAGGAAGGCGTGCGCGCCCGTGGAGAAAGATGCGCACTTGTCTCGGAGGTGACAAGGTGTAGAACGCAAAGCGAAGGGCAGGAGCTGCCACCATGGCGTCTTAGCGAAGCTTCGGAAACACTTACCTTTTTGAGCATCGCGTTGCACTGTAAGCGCAGCGTGCTTAACACTACGGTTCTTAGAATTACTAGAGTGTACCTCCTATAGTATAAAGGCACACATACAAAACATCGACGTGTTGTTATGGTGCCTCAGATGTGCGCAATAACTGTGCTTTTCATTGACGATCACACAAGTATGAACCCTCAACCTGGAGCAATATTGGTGGGCGCTGTAGATGAGGCTGGTCGTTTGATGCCATTTGAGGTATCGATAAAGGCAGACAAACAGACAAATGCACAGACACACAGGCACATAGACAGACAGACCAAAATTTTTCCGTCGATGGTCCCCAAGAAAGACTATCGTCTTTAAAAAAAATGGCAGCTTATCTACGGAGTGAATGATGGAGAGTGCGGCGAAGCATTCGTCCGTCCATGCGTCCGTCTGTGTGACCGTCCATGCGTCTGTTCATGCGCCCGTTCCTGCGTTCGTTCATGCATCCGCCCCTGCGTCCGTTCATGCGTCCATCCATGCATCTGTCTGTGTGTCCGTTCGTCCATCTATTCAACACTCCAAGTCCCACCATCTCGCATCTTTTTATCATATATTCCCCATATAGAAGCACCGCCATTCAGTGGACATTCCAAGGACTAAACGAGAGGTGGCACACGCACACTTTCTTACGGCTTGCGCTTCGGGTCTACTTCCCACCTTCAACCACCTTGAGTTCATGGTATATACTAGTTCACTGTATTCATGGCACTGCGGCCCAATGCTCGCTAAACCTTCCTGAAACCAAGGAGGTTACGCCCAGCGAGTATAACGTAGCAACCTTTTCCTGTCAGATAGTGCTCAATGTACATGCCAGTGGCTGCTGATGTGAAATAAGAGACAGGAGGATTCAGCTTTTAATTTCTTACGGCTTGCGCTTGGTATCTGCTTCCCCTCTTTAACCACCTCGAATTCATTCATGGTATATACTAGTTCATTGTATTCATGGCCCTGCGGCTCAACGCTCGCTAAATCTTTCTAAAACTAAGGAGGTTACATCCAGCGAGTATAATGCAGCAACTCTTTCTTGTCCGATAGTGCTCAATGTACATGCCAATGGCTGCTAATGGGGATCGCAGCGTGCGCGTTGACTAAAAGCCGAATGCTCTTGTCTCTCATTCCCCATCAGCAGCCATTGGCATGTACATTGAGCACTATTTTTTATTGTTAAACAACGCACAGAAGAAATCTCTCACCGGCACCACCTTGGAGGTCAAATGTTATACATATTTCGTGATTGTGCCACTGGTGGTTACGTACTACGAGGGACGCACAAGCCACGTCATAAGGAGGTTCGCCCCTAAAAGAAAGAAAGGTAGCACTCAGCTCATACTAAGCCCCGCGTGGCTGCACCGCATTAGAGCTGGTGCACGCACTTAGCTGGTGCTGGCTTGGCTCGGTTCTTACCGTTGTACCCCTCTTTCTCACATCTCTTGTCATACTGCACATGACTATGCATTATCTCTATTGTTACTAGGGGCGAAGCTTCATAGTAGGAGTAGTAGTAGTAGTAATAAGTAGTTTTAGTAGCAGTAGTAGTAGTATGTAGCTATCTATAGTTTATGAATCTCTGAGTAGATAACGTTGTGTGTATATGTCCTTAGAAATATTATCACTAGATGGCGTTTGTTGATTTCGTACAGTTGACGAACCGACGTACAGACAGACAGACAGACAGAGAGACAGACAGACAGACAGACAGACAGACAGACAGACAGACAGACAGGCAGACAGACAGACAGACAGACAGACAGACAGACGTACGAAAGCACGGACGGATGCTTTGTCCCAATCATCATTCACTACGTGGATGTGCTGTGAGTTTTTTTTTTTCGTTTCTCCATGTGTTTTCATCTCTATCACACTGTAGATACTTCTTTCTCTTTCTTCCTTTATGTTTCTTTTTATAACTTTCTTTTTACTTTCTTCGTCATAGTGGCTTTTCATCTTCAATTTTTTCTTTGTTTCTTCTTTTTTGGTTGCACTTACTCGTTTTTGTGTTTCTCCTTCTTCCTTTGTCTGTCTGTCTCTGTACTCGTTCGTCCCTCTCCCTTTTGTCCCTCCACACGTCTGCACTTCTCAGTATGACTTCCCATTCTCACATTCTTGCAGTAAAATACTACACAGGGCTACGGATTGCAGAATAGTCATGGCACACGCCTTCGGATTGTGGGAACGCCTGTTCGAATCTCGCCTCACAAAACTTTTGTTCCGCCAGTAATTTCTTTTCCTCTCTTTCCCTTTCTTTGTTTCTCTATCTCTATTCGATCGCTCACCAGTTAGAACAAATTGACGACCAGTTCTGGCTGCGGGGAGGAAGAGGGAGGTGATGAGGAAGAAGACGTTGAGAGCGTGTGCTGGTTCATGACGGTGATAATGTCTTATCTATGACACAGGCGAACATCGAGCGCGAGAGGTGTTCTGTGATTGGAAAATTCCACCGGCTAAATAAGCAGGCAACATATGTTCTGACGGTGGTCTTTGTTTTTTTGTGCTTGCTGATTTTCGATATTCGATTTTGTTAGAAAAATCATTATCTGCAACCTCTCCGGGAATGTAAAAGAATTGCATGCGACAACATTTTCGGCACAAATGAAAGTTTGTATCATGTTGCAAGTGTTCCTGAAACAGAGAAATATTGAGAGAAAGATAGATAGAGAGAGAAAAGAATTTGGAAATATATGAGAAAAAGACAGAGCGGTCAGATAAAATCATTTCATACGGTTAGCTATTTACAGCAAGGGGTAGAGGAATAACATCTTTAGCCGGTAGTGCTGGTGATTACAATAGCTGCTCTGTTTACTTTGTATGTTTACGCGTTATATGAAGCGTAATAATGTAAGTTTAGCACATTGTGAAACCATTCACCGGCAACAAAAGTTGCACCACGATTTTATGTACCATTCCAGGCCGTTCTAGCGTAAGCATTCGCGTCGCATACGAAGAAATGCGCTGAAGGTTTGAAAATAAAAGCAGAATACGTCTTAAGAGCTTTGGATTTGGCGCTAGCGACAGAGAAGTATGTTTTTCATTCCTTTTACGTGCCAAGCGCACGTATTTTTTGCGAAAATTCAGATGTTGCAGGGACCATTTATTCTTTTTCATTCCGGGTTCTGCGTGTTCGTGTTTTGCCCACCAATCTGAAAAAAAAAACGGATGTAGTTACGCAATTATGCAAGCACACGTGAAAGTTCAAACGATGAAAACAAGATATATTAGCTGGAAAAAATGATAGAACTTGAATGAGCGCGTCGGTGACTGTAGGCTTTCCTGAACAAAAATACCAGCCCCATCTACACCTGATGTGCGCGAGACTTACCGGAAACCAAACGTTACGCACCTAGTTAACTAATGCTGCTTATCTGGTCATTAATGCTAAGTTCTTTGCATTCGCAGGGAGAGTGAGAAAAAAATGTTTAGGAGTTGGGGATGGAAGGAAAAGTCACCTTGTGACGAAATAGAAGGTGACAGTTAGGCTATACTAAAGACGAATCGTCATTGGGCGCAAAGTGAGGCAGTAACAAAGGTACGCTGTCGTTCTTTATGAAAAAGAACACGAGATCACGTGACCTGCTTTCTACAATGGCTGCCTAGAGTATCTTACAGCGCTTGTTTAGCGGTCATAACTCGCCGTTTTGTTTGGCAATAGATGATGCCAAAAGTCAACGTCCTTTCTTTTGCTGTCGGTTGATGATGGCCCTTTAGGCAGCCGCTGCAGAGCTCAGGCCATGAGCTCACGTGTTTGCTTTCATAAAGGACAACAGTGAACATTTATCCGAGATATGAACCTGGATGCTTTTCTGGCATCTTGTATCTGTTCCTTAATAACTTCCGCAGTACTGTTATCGCTATTCAGTATTCAGTACGGCGTGCGAAGTATCGTTTATGTTAAGATACAAGATACATCTTTTGCAAGAGTTGACGTGGGTTAGTGAATTTCAGGCTGTTGCGGATGGACACGCACAAACGGCTATTTCTTCCTAACGTGTACACATGCATTGAGCAGGTTTTGGAAAGACAAGGTTGTTATGTTGCTACCATCAGCCTGAGTAGTTTTACATAGCGCCACAAGATGGCATTTATATCTCTCCTTTGATAAAATAGCGATAAATGCTGATGGCGGTTGGTTTGACGTTGGATGGACGTGTTTTGCGAGGGCTCTGGATCGACTGCGCAGATAAGTGTTTTCGCGTGCCTCGAGCTTGTTTTTTTTATTAATTATTAAAGAGCATTGTAGGCATTTACGGCACCTATTAAATTGTACGGCTGTTGGGGGGTCAGTCGCCTGGTATTTTTTATTCATGTGTTTTTTTCTCTCCTACCTAAAGGGGAAGGGAGTGTACGTGCATTGACCATGTGAAGTTCTGTAGTAGAGCTGAGACCATTTTTTACTTAGGGCGGTGTTCATCGTACGCCTCATCCTCAAATTATCGGGGTGGACAACTCAGCTACACATGGGCACTGGTGAATCGGTATCAAAAAGACTTTTGCATTCTGTGCCATCTTGGAGCCGTTAGACGTAAAAACAATCAGCACCGTTCAAGGCCTGGTCGGACTACTTAGTGACGTTTTTTCAGACGACCATATCAAAAAGACGTTTGCGTTCTGTACCATCTTGG